GTTTAAAAAAGATCTACTTTGTAATACAAATAAGTGTTCTATAGTTTTTTTAATTCTGCAAATTTTTGTAACAGGTGAATCATATTTTCTTTAATAGGTGAATTATTTTCTTAAAAGTGGTGACTGTCAGGAATTTAATCTGTCCTTTATTATTCATTTTCAGTATGGGCACCCTGTGTAGGATCCAGTCTCCCTGCTGTATCCCCAGTAACTAAAAATAGCACCACGCACCCAGTAGGTGTTCATTTAGTGCCTTTGCTTTGTAAAAACACAAATTTTCATTTCATGTACTTTTCACATATATCTCTCTCTCACTTAAGATTTGTTTTTATTTCTTCTTTTGGCAGTCTCTGAGCCTAGTGACTATCCTAGAGTTAGGGTAAAAACAAGTGGTAGGATTTTTTTTTTTAAGGACTAAGTTTTGTTCTTTTTTTTTTAGATTTTATTTATTTATTAGAGAGAGAGAGAGAGAGAACGGGCGGGGAGAGGGACAGCAGGAGAGGGAGAAGCCGGCTCCCCTGGGATCATGACCTGAGCCGAAGGCAGATGCTTAACAACTGAGCCACCCAGGCGTCCCCAGACTAAGTTTTGTTTTATTATCCTAACTAGTAAATAAGTAAAAGGCTGAGGGAATAGTAGTGAAATTTGTGGCCTTTTGACTGAAGAGGTAGTATCTCAAGTCTGAATTCTGTCAACAAGCATCAAATGAAAGTCCTACTGATAAAACACTTAAGGGCTACAACAAACATGATAAAATAATTTAAATATATAATAACCAGAAATTCCAAAACGACAGTGTTTAAAGTAGTGGAAGAATGTTAATTCACTGCATACATTTCTAAAGAAATATGAAATGGTACTTAAAGAGTGAAAATAACCAGATAATACATAAAATCACACTTGGAAAAAATATTCCTTTTTTCAAGGGACATGTATTGGGCACCCACCATATGCCAGGCTAAATCCTGTTTATTACAAACTACTAACAAACTGTTCTCGAGACATACCTATGCCTTATTGCCCTTAAATAAACATTAGTGTCTATCATATCCTCTGTGCTAAGCACTAGGAATATTTCTTTAATAAGGTTGTTTTTTTTTTTTTTTTAAGATTTTATCTATTTATTTGTCAGAGAGAGAGAGCACAAGCAGGGGGAGTGGCAGGCAGAGGGAGAAGCAGGCTCCCTGCTCAGCAGGGAGCCTGATGCGGGACTCCATCCCAGGACCCTGGGATAGTGACCTGAGCCGAAGGCAGAAGCTTAACCTGAGCCACCCAGGCGCCCCAGCGCTAGGAATATTTCTATAAACAAGACAAAGACTATCTCTGTCCTGGATTCTCAGAGAGGAAAAAAGAAAAACCAAGTAGTCAGAAATTACAACAAAGAAATAAACAAAGGACCAGGAAATGGTAACGGGGAACTCCTCTGGATAGGGTGGTTGGATAAAGGCCTCTGAAAAAGTGACATCTATACCCTCACTGATGAAAAGGAGACAACTCTGGGCAGATCTGGGGAAAGGGCAGGAAGAGGCAGCAGGAACAGCAAGTGCAAAGGACCTGAGGTGGGAATGAATGTCAAAGAGCAAAAGATGGCAGTGTGGCTTGAATATAGTGAGCAAGGGTGCGTATGGCACAAGTTGAGGTCAGAGAGGCAGAAACTAGATCACACAGAGCACTGCAGGCCATGGGGAGAAGTCGCTACATCATTCAGAGTATAAGGGGAAGCCATTAAGACTTTTAAAGAAGAAAGCAAGATGATCTGAATACATTTTTATAAAAATCATTCTTGCATTTGGGTGAAGAATGGATTAAAAAGAGGCAGGATGGAGGAACGGGGAGACCAGTTGAGTGATTTTGACTAAAATGCTAAGAGTGAACTGCTGACAGAAACCTGGTGAATTCCAAACACATTTTGTAGATGGCAGATGAGGTTGGATGTGGGGCTTGATGAAGGACAGGGAGGAATGGAGGGTGGATCCTAGACCTGGGTTGAGCAATTAGATGAATGGTGGTACCATTTACTGAAGTGGGTGGTGCAAATTACTGAGATTTATTCTTCATATACTGTGTGCTCATTCCTCCTGATGGCGGACCAAAGACATGACAATCGCCAAATCCGATGAATCCTTATCATATTTAATCTCCTCTTCTGACATTGTTAACCACTCCCTCTTACTTAAAACTTCATTCCCTCTTGGTTTCTAAGACACCTCATTCTTCCAGTTCTTCACTTACTCATCAGACATCCTTCTCAGGTTCCATATACCCGAGGGCTCTGTCCCTGGCCCTCTGCTATTTCCTTCAACGCACTCTCCGTTGGTGACCTCATCCAAGCAATCCATAACTTTAACTACTATCTACATGATGCCTTCCAAATCTGTATCTCCAACAAGAACTTTCTCATCTCCAGAACCATCTATCCAACTGTCCTCTGCCCACTTCTAATAGGATGTCTCAGCTGCATCAGAAACTCAACATACCCAAAAGTAACTTCATCATCACTGTTCCCTCAACCCCACATTCATCTGTGCAAAGCCCCACTTGCCAAAAATGGGCCCAGCTTCCCAAACCCCAAACCTTAGGATCATCTTTCACTCCTCTTTCAAGTCCACAGCAAATCAATTTGCAAACCCTATCAAATTTACTTTCTAACTAGCTCACAAGTGTGTCCTCTCTTCATATCTCACTGCTTTAATTCAGCTCTTCATCTTCCTCTGGATTATTACAATAGCCCTCTGGTTTCTTCAATCTCACATCGCTCCAACCCATTCTTCACGTCTCCAGAGAGAAAGAAATCCTTCACCAGCTTCCCACAGGATAAAAATCAAGCCTTACAAATGGCAAATGAGGTCCTTTGTGAGTTAATGCCTCTGCCTGGCTCTCCTGCCTCAAGTGCCCCCCATCTCTCTCCCACCATACACTCCTACCTCCCACACCAACCTACCAACGCATCTATTCCTCCAGTGGCCTGGACTCCAGTCTAAGATGACGGCCCTCCTTAGTGCTCTCAGGGCACCCCACTGTCAAAGAGAACTTCTCATATTACTTATCGCACTGTGCTTCTCCCTGTAAATTATGGGAGGGCAGGGACTGTCCTTCTTAGGGTATTTTTGGTGCTTAATTCTTACAAGGTGCTTAATAAATGTTTGCTGAATAACTGTATCTGGATCGAATTCAGGAAGGTTTTCTATAAAACTGGACTGCTATCCATGGACACCATCCATGACCAGGAAAAGACGACTTGGCAAGGAGAAACATTTGATGGTTTTCCAAAATTAAGCAGTAACGTTAGTGGCTGATTTTCACATACCAACATTCATCTTTCCTTACTGAAGAGCTGGGCACATCCAAGGTGTATGCAGCTATTATTCTGATGATCTTTTCATATTAATATCCATTAATACTTAGTTTTTCAGTTCTGCTTTTAGTACCTTGAGTCTAATTAAGATCGCCCTCCCCGCTTTGTCCTCAGTGGCAATGTCTGACCTCTCCTGTGTAATTATTCTGTCTGAAGCACACAAGATTTCTGATCAAACTCATTTTTAGGCTATTTCCTACCTGTTTACTTAAAACACAAATATTGTCACCATCGCCAACAAAACCCGCCCCCCACACTTTTAACCTTTTTTTTCCTCAAAGGAGACATTTACACAGAACCTGTCAACCTCCAGAGGACGAGGAGACTTTTACCTTTATACGTTACCACCCTTGGAATCATTGGTTAAATGATAGCTTTCCTGGTTCCAAAGATCACATGAAGGACTTTTCCACGAAAGAAATGACTGAGTAAACTTGTATTCAGACACTGTGATGCAACTGACATTTTGTGAAACAAAAGAAACGAAAAAGTCGACGTGGTTTCTTAGGAGTTGGCCTTCTTTAGAACCATTACTTAACCACGTTCTGAGGCAGCAACAAGTCCTTTGCTTTGAACAACAACACAAAAAAGTCCTGTGACCAACACTACTTCAGATGTCCATAAAACAACTCATCCAATGCAATAAATCGAGCCTGAGGTTTACCTTAAGTTGACCCATGAAATTTGGCAAGAAAAAAAGGTCATTAAAAAAAAGAAGAAAAAAGGGAAAATGAGCTTTTTAATGTCCTGTGTCTTGTCAAACTGTGGTGACTCTGCCTGGCGTTATTACGGATTTGACCAAATTCCTTTAAGCCAGGTCATTTCAGTGGTATTCCCAGTCTTGCCTCCTAACCCAGAAGTAATGTAAATGTCCCCGCGGTGGGTGCTCGGCAGACTGGAGAAGGGACCCAGGAGACTCCAGGGCTCCTCTATCACGGGGGCTTAAAAAACGGACTGGAGGGCATTGGAAATGGAACTCACAAGGTAAAACAAGACATTCGTCTAAAACAAGGAAATAAACCAACAAAGAAAAGCCTGCAACCTTCCGCCACCTCCTAAAGGTGGAGAACGCCAGAACCCCCGGTTCCCCGAACCGGAATCCCAGGCGGGAGTGCCGGGGCGACCCCGGGTCACACGCGGGGAAGGCGGGCGACCCCGCGCCAGCGCGAAGCAGCCGCCCGCCGGCCCTCGGCCCCCGCGGCCCCCCCAGAAGGGAGCAAGGTGGGGAGCTCGCCCCTCCTCCCGCACACGCAGGGACCGGGAAGAAGGAAGGCTCGGCGCTCCCCACCCGCGCGGCTCCCGCGGCTCCGGAGCGCGCAGGCCGCGCCCCCTCCCCACCTCGGCCCCCGCCGCCCCGGCTCCGGCATCACTCACACAGCCCGAGCGCCGCCGCCAGCACCGACCACAGCCAGCGCCTGCGGGCTGGGGCTACTGGCACTGCCGCGGCTCCCGCGGGCGCTGCCATCGTCCTTCCCACGCCGCCGCGCCCCGGGCCCCCGTCCCCACTGCGCTCCGCTCCGCTCGCCGCAGGAACTCCGGCCTCGCCGCCGCCCGCGCCCGCTGGCACCTCCACGCCGCGCTCCCCGCTCCCGGCCCCAGCCGCAACCCCCGCCCCGCGCCGGCCCCGGTGGTCCGCTCATTGGCCAGCCCCGCGTCCTCGGGAGGACGCCATTGGAGGACACCGACCGTCCATCAACCCCCTCGCCCGGAGGGCCCGCCCCCCCGGTCCCACCCAGGCTGCTTCTCCCAGCGTTGGAGGCCGGGGTCTCCGGAGGTGTTGGGCTCCCGCCGCCCGGCCCTCCGCCCGCCTGGGTGTCCGTGTGTGTCCCGCCTGCCGACCGCCTGCCGCCGTCTCCTCTGTCTCTCGGAGGTCCAGTCCCGCAGATCTCTTCACAGTCTCTCCTGGCCGCGGGTCCTTGCCGGGTCTGTGCTCGCCTCGGGGTCAGCCCTTCTGGGTTTTTCTGGGCCTCACCTACAGGAAAAAGCACTCCATTTACAAAGGGAAAAAAAAGAGGGGACGATGGGATGATTCAGCCGGCCGCTTGGAACACGTCTCCCGCCTTGCCCTTTGCAAGGCCTGTCCTTCGCCTCGACTGGGTAATTTATGTGTTGCAATTTGAGAAATCAGCTAGGTTAAAAAAGAAGTCTCCATCTTGCCCGAATCTCCTCTTAGGAGGCCTTCTTTAGGCTTAAGAAAGGCTGGAAACCGGGAACTCTTTCCTGCTACTTGGAACACAAATGAATGTGCTTTTAGTTTATTTTGCTTTTGCAGACAAAATGTCCCCTGATTTGTCAATAAAAATTGGAATGGGGAAGTTCCTGAGCCTGAAGTGCCTTGGTTGACTGCTCAACTTGGTTCCCTTGGCCCAGAACAGTGTCTGCTGCTCACCGGTTGCCCAATAAATGCTGAAAAGTGTTTGGAAGGGTCCTTATGAGAATACCCTACAAAGGGCACACCAGAAGGAGGGACAGGAGCATGACAAGATGAGAGTGAATGAAGAAAAGGAAGAATCTAGGTGGGCGGCCAGCAGAGTGAAGGAAGGAACAAAATGTGGACCATTAGCACAAGAGGAGGGGAAGAGTATGGTGAGAAAACCCAAATGTAACCTCTCATTTAAGGGTTTTTGTCTAAAGTCAATTTAGACAAACTGATATTTTTGCTGTTTTAGCCTACTAGCCTTGTAAGGAAACTCATAATAATTAGTAGTAGTGAGAGAAAACTAAAAAAGCATGACAACCATTTTGCCCTATTTTTCTCTGCAAGATCCTTATGAAGTGTGTCTGGAATGTCATAGGTTGGATTGAATACAAATGCGTTAAGTGAGTAACTACTATGTGCTGTAGATGTAGAACACCTAGACTTTACTCTCAAGAAGCACATAGGCCTCCAGCGTAGACATTACAGGTACTAAATTTTTTTAAATGCTTGAAGAGGAGAAACCCAAGGCCAACAGACACATTGTTTCTCAAGGACACATGTAATGTTACAGGCATCTCTGACTATGATATACCTCAACACACACACCTTCCTCTTCTGGGAACCACTGGCCAAGAGGTGTGGGGGGAAAGATGCAGAAAGGATGTAGCACTTGAGGTGGACTTTATTTTTTTTTTAAGATTCTATTTATTTATTTGACAGCGAGAGAGGGAACACAAGCAGGGGAAGTGGGAGAGGGAGAAGCAGGCTTCCCACCGAGCAGGAAGCTTGATGCGGGGCTCGATCCCAGGACTCTGAGCCAAAAGGACATGCTTGATGACTGAGCCACCCAGGCGAACTTTAGAGGATGAATAAAGGTTCACTGAGAAGGTGTAGGAAAGCAAACTCAGAAACGGGAAAGCAGTACCAGGTGCAAGAAATAGTGGGTAAATCTTCTGTGGTTTGGAACTTCAGAGGAGTTAGGGAAGGAGAATGCTGGTGGTCTTTTGAAGAACCTTGGGTTGTCCATCCTGTGGCCACTAGGGAGAGGTAAAAGGGGAATGACAAGTTCAGGTCTGTATTTTAAAAGGTTGACCACAGCAGACAAGGTGAGTGAGAAAAGAATCCAGGGTGCCTGGGTGGCTCACTTGGTTAAGTGTCTGTCTTGGGCTCAGGTCATGATCCCAGGGTCCTGGGATGGAGCTCTACAGGGAGTCTGCTTCTCCCTCTCCCCCCCCCTCCCCCCGCCTCATACTCAGGTGTGTGCACGCTCTCTTTCTCTCTCAAATAAATAAATAAAATATTTTAAAAAGAGAGAGAGTAAAAAGAATCCAGAAAGACAGATATGACCTCCAGTTTCTAGCCTGAGTGGAAAATAATGCTACCAGTCGACGGAAACGAAAGCCAAGGAAGAGAACCTGGTCTTCGAGGACGGCTAACAAGGTGGGCCTTGGACGTAGCTTAAGATGCTGACAGACGTCAGGGGAACTGCAGAAGGGCTTCTTGGAGCTTGAGCCGCTGTGGCAACAATGTGTTCCACAAGAAACATTGGTCCATCAGTCTCAAGTCAATAGAACGTCCTTCCCTTCAAATATGGGATGTAAAGGAAAAATGACTTCCCTTGGAAGGGTCAGAGGGCTTGGTCTATCTGAGTACTAGTTGCTGTCAGGCCTTCCTAGGGACTCCTGGGTGACAGCAGATGTGGCCACTCCCAGACTGAGTACACCAGCCCCCCTTTCTTCCTTAGCTTCAAATCCCTGGCCAGCTTCTCTCCCTGCTTCCCTTGGGATCTTCTCCTCTGCCCCAAAGCCTGTGCGCACCCCTGCAGGGAGGAAGACCCGTCCAGAGAGAACAAGAACACCTGGACTCTGAGGTGTTTTGCAGGGGGCTGGACTTTCCATGGATATTTCCACAACTTCCACAACCACCAGAGAGTGGACAGAATGAATTTCCCATTTACTCCCTTTTTAGAGCCTTTCATTGGCTCCTTATTGCCCTTAGCATGACGTCCAAACCCTTTGACTGGCATCACATCCCTGCAGACTGCTTTTGTGAGCGCCTGCCTGGGGCCCTTCTCCCCACACTCCAGCCATGCAACCCAAACCTGCCTTCAGTTCCAGCGCAGGCGCTCTCGAGCCTGCAGGGCTGTGTTCCCATGGCTTCCTCGGGCCTTAGGCCTCCCTCTGCCCCCTGACGGTCAACAGTTTATCTTCCCATCTTTTAGAACATAACTTGAGGGTGAATTCCTCTAAAAAGGTTTCCTGCAGTCTCTAATATCTCCCTGCACTGCCCTGTGTAGACTTGATCACTGTCACCCGGTACAGCTCTGTACTCATTCAGATTTCTAATGATTTTAAAACCTAAAATGGGACTCACGTCTCAAGGTCTTTTCGAACACAGTTGAGAGTAATGTATTAGGTGGTAAGTTCTCGATACAGGTTACTATTATCATATCAGCACTTGCTTGCTATTATCCACTTACTTGTCTGTCTCTCATATAAAATGGTCCCCTCGAGGGACACAAGGGACTTTTTTCCCCAGGGCCCAAGACAGAGCCTGGTGCAGAGTAATGCTCGTCTCCTGTTAACCTCACACTTAGCTGCACTGTCCTCGTTGCTGTTTCTGGAACATTTCAGGTACACCCACGTCTCCCAGTGTTTGCACTGGCCGCCCCCTCTACCCAGTTGGTTCTTCCAGATATGCGCATGACTCACACCTTGTTCCTCTTCCAGCTTTTGCTCGCATGTTATCTTCTCAAAGAGGCCCATCCTTACCATCCTGTTCAAATCACAAACCCTCCCTATACAATTTCTTTCTTCATTATATTTATGGTTTGTCTTCTCTCACTAGAATGTCTGCTCCACCCCGGCAGGGACTGTTTCTGTTTTGTTCACGAATATACTCAACACCTCGCACACAGCAGATGCTCAATACATTTTTGCTGGGTGAAGAGATGAATGAATGTTTATTAAATTAATCTAGAGAAGTTACAAAAACCCCCCAAAAAAACATCGTGCAAAGTTGTAGTTTCTGACCCTGCTGTAGAGAGTAAATGGGAAAACAAACAAGCCAAAAACCCCCTTGGATTCCAGTCATTATTGTTAGTCCGAGGTCCTCACTCAGCAAACCTCCTTCTCTTCACGTACCCCTTTCTTCCTCCTGGAAACTCCCCTTTTCCAGCGCGTGCAATTCAGACAATACAATCAGAATCAACTGAAGACTTCCAATCAGGTCAGAAAGGTCCTTTCAATGGACGGCTGCCTCTGAAAAGAAGGGGCTCCTTGGGGAGAATTTTCCCCACAGAATCAATAATAAGAAAAAAATCATGTGCAGAGGCCTTCTGATAATAGTTACTGACACAGGCCCACTGGCCTCACAGACTTCCTTTTTCACGCAGCGCACAATAAATGCAGTAGTGAGGAGGGGTTTGCCTTGGCTTCACTTAACAGAGATAAGATAAGAGGCGCTCAGGAGCATCTACTGCTGGCAAATATATAAGGGCAGAATTTTCTAGAGCTGGAATTAACGGGACAAAGTAGGAAGATGGTGACAGGCACCAAAATTTCAAACAGATCTTTGTGATTGTGGTGGGATCCTCCCCGCCTCCTGTATTCTCATGGGCATTCCTTCCTTGCTTGTCTTTTTAAAGATCTGTTGCCACAGGAATTGGAACACTGTGATCTGTGGGTAGTGAGAATTTGACTATTAATGAATAAATATCAGAGTAAAAAATGAATCCCAGGCCATCGTGAAAAAGATTTGCCTGAAGCGAAATCAATTTCATTAATATTTCTGTTGACAGAATGGCTTAATTCAGGAGAAGGGTTGCATTTTTTGCTAGCAAATATTGAAAATTTGAAAATTAGAGTTCTAGTGTCTTCGGTGTTTCTGGGCACCAAATTGGGGGAACAAGAATAATGGGGGTCCTTAGAGAGGTGTTGTCAGTAAAAGTAGATGTCACCAGGCTTTTTCATTTGCTGTGACTGGGATAAAATGTTCCTCAAGATCCTCTGTCCCCTTGTATACTGTAACAATCTGTGTACTACAAGGGAAGGTTGTGCCCTGGAGGGGGTCACAGGCATTCCTTTACCAGGATAGAGATGTTTCTCCCTGTGAGTTAGGCAACTGATATTCTGAGTTTTGTTACTGTCAGTTTTCCTGCACCTTTGTGAGAGGCAAATGAGATACTCTAATGGAGCCTGAAGAGTAATAGACAAACTATTTTCCAATCACTAGAGAGAAGTAGGAGTAAGAAAAAAAAAAAAAAACAACCCTGAAAATGATAATAACTATAGTAAATTCAAGTGGGAAAAGAGAGCATAGAGACCTCTTAGTAACTGTAGAAGCTCAGGTTTTCAGAAATCTGAAGTGGTTACAGTATTTTACCTTACAAGTTATATTTTTTAGTTTCCTCGTTCTCATGAGAAATATAAACTTCTTAAGTGTCTAGGGCACATTTTTTCCAGTTAGGTTTTGATGAATGAAGTGAGCTGGCACCTAGAACCAATGAACATTTTAAAGGGTATTCTTATTCTCCTTGCCTTGAGCCCTAAGAAGAACTCAAGTCTCTTGTTAGGACAGTTTCAAACAAAACAAAGAAGGGTGGGGAATGTTAGAGATCCAGAACTATAATTTGCTAGTGTCAAACCATAGGAAGAAAGTTGACAATTCAGTGTCTGGTACATAGTGCTTCTAATGTTTGTTGAATGAATGAGCAACCAGGCGAATGAATAAACTGATATGAAACAAAGTAAGTGACTAGGTTCTATTTTGGATAGCCACTCTTCTATTTGTTGTTGTTATTTGTTGACAGTTCACACTTACTAGCTGTCCAAGTACCAAGATTTGTTTTGTTGAGGAACTTGAAACTAATTGCAGTCATTTATTGAGCACCAGCTTTGTTAGCATAAGCTTAAATAATAAGTATTTAAGAATTTAAAATATGGTAAACAAGCCATGCGGTAAAGGTATTGGGACAATTGGGCACCAATCATAATGAATTATACATTTGGTTGCCAGTTACACAGATTTCAGTATTGTCCTCCAGTAAATTATGATTAGAGGAGATAAGACAGCACGCCAATTATATATCACATACAGTTGATTTTAATATGTTAAAGGATCTTTCTCTGGGAAAGTTAGAGTTTGGGATTTATCCAAGAGGAAAAAGATTTTCCAGCTGAAGAGAACACTTTGAGTAAAAACACCGAAATGGGAATTCACAAGGCTGGCTGGCGTCTTGAGCACTAGGATAAAAAGTATAGAAAGAAACCGACAATTTTACTATTATTGGAAAGCGCAACGTCCAGAACTCAGTAAAGAAGAGAGTCTGGAATCTTCCTGCCACAGAGACCCTGCAATTTATTAGCCACGAATATAAACAGAATTATGTCTTTTGAAATGAAAGGTAAGTATATTACAATGGTAGTGAGACCGTTGTTTTCTTCTGTATCAGATTCTTAAAGATAAAAAGTAAAAAAGAGAGAAAATAGAAAACCTACATAGAGCACAAAAACAAGTGAAGGATATAAACAATACATAAATAACCGCTTGGGGGCGCCGGACTAAGTAGTTCACCTTCCTTTAGCATGGCAGGAATATCAAAACTACGCCGGCTCGTTGGTCTAGGGGTATGATTCTCGCTTAGGGTGCGAGAGGTCCCGGGTTCAAATCCCGGACGAGCCCTTCTTTTCTTACTAAAAATTTCTGATAATACACACAGGTAATAAATACACGTTGCTGCAAAACACAAAACTGAGACTTTTTGAGCTTTTGCACACTGCACATCCAAATACTATAAGAAGACAACGTAAAAACGTAGAAAGTTTGAAAACATTGTGATACTCTGAAAACGCTGTCCCCACCCCTGCTAGTTCCGGAGTCGCGCGCGTGTGCAAGTGACACAGAGTTCCGCTGTCGGCTGCCCGCAGGTGTGGCCGGCCCGCGTCCAGCCACAGGCCGGGTGCTGGGCGTCGGCAGGAGGACTGCGCGCGCCTGGTCCGGGACCGCTAGTCGCCGGCGTCCTGCCCACGTGCGGGGCTGTGATCGGGGGGTCAGGACTCCGCACGAGGCGCCTCTTTTTTCCCAGCGCGCGTGCTTTAAGGGTACAGCTGTTCTCACGCTCAGCTCTCCGACGCACAGTGGCCGTATGGTACAAATTGATCCCATTCGATTTCTTGCTTCGCAAAACTGGGGGAATTAACAGTCAAGCTCAAGAGACCATATTAGTTGGTTTCATATAAGCCTCTAAATGGGTTGTGTGAGGAAGAAAAAAAAAGGTTTTAAATTTAAGGTGTGGAGCGAAAGAAAAGCCTGGGCTCGTCCGGGATTTGAACCCGGGACCTCTCGCACCCGAAGCGAGAATCATACCCCTAGACCAACGAGCCACTCTCGGCAAAGCGGCTCCCGGCGCCTCCCTTCAGCCTCGCCCCGCCTCTCGCTGCGCTTCCCACCCGACCCGACCCGCGACTCTTCTCCCACTGCCTGGACCGTGCACCCATCCAGGCGTGGGCCCCGGAGCCCCTCTTGTCGCGGCTTTTGCGGAGCCGGGCGGGTCGCACCACCCTGAGCCGGGGCCCATGCTGCACCCAGCGGTGGCGGCGGGCGCGGGAGCCGGGGCTGGGAGGGCGCCGCCGGGTGCCCGCCTAGGCCAGTGCTCGCTGGGCGCGACGGGCCCCGTCGGGCTGGGCTGAGGGCACGAACGCGAGCCGCGGCTGAAGGCGGGCGGAGCGGGCGGGGAAGAAACCCCAGAGGAGGGTTAAAAGAGAACTTTCCCAACACTCATTATGGGATCGTCCGCCCTTTTGAGGGCTTTGCAGGTACGGAGCTCATTGGATATTCCTGATGTCCTGCTCCTAGGTGCTCCCCGCCTCCCTTTGCAGAGAGAACGCAGGTCCGGGACCTCAGGTAGCTCGTTTGGAGCTGTGGGCAGGGAAGGCCTAGGAAGGGGCCGCGAGCGGTTGGGGGCGACGAGTGCCCCGGCGGCTGCGGGAGCGGGGAGGACCCCGGACGCGTGCGCCCCCTGCAGCCGACGGCAGGGGCCCGGCGGTGGTAGCGCGCCCCGCCTCCGCCCCGCCCCCTCCGCCTGCGTCCCCGCCCCAACCCGGGCCCAACTACCCCAGGCTGCGGGGTCCTGGCTCCCGCGGCCGGCTTCCGGACCCCAAGCTTCCTTTTTCCGTGGAAGCTGTTCTCCGTAGCTGTCTGACAGTCCTCCGAGGGTCCAGTGGTGTTCTTGCCCCTCACCTTTTGGGAGCTCCCCGTTGCACCAGCTTCTCCGCTTTCCCCCGCCCCCTTCCTCCTGAGGCCCGCAGGCACCTGGGGTGTCGCTCAGTGACGGAAGGTCAGGACGGGAGCTCGCGCCCTGGGCGGGGGTGGGGGAAATACAGGCGAAAACACCTCAAATCAAAGAGCAAAAGCTGAAAAGCCAAATCTGGCCCCGTAGAGCCCTGCTGCTCCCTGGGGTAGGGGGACGTGGCTGGGGAGGCAGCCTGTCCAAGCTAAGCCCTCTATTTGCTTTGATCGCATGTAAGACTTTAACGACACCCTCTCCTTGTCTGAGACCACCTTTCTTCCTCCTACTGAGCCAAGGTTTCAGAGCTAAATACTGCTTTGAACTTGAGGATAGGTTCGGGATGCGGGTGCGGTGGGTTCAGGGGTGGGCGTGGGGCAGGAGGCGCTCCCCGCAGAGTCCTGAGCAATCCGCTTCGCCCTCTCCTTGAGACCATGGGCTCACTCTGCCCTGCCAGGGCTGAAGCCCGCTCCCACCACTCGCCCTGGTGCCATGAGAGGTGACAAGGCTGGAGGCCTCTCCTACCCCTGCCGGTGTCCCCTCTCAAGGTTGTTGAATTTCCCACACCCACTTTCTTGTCCCTTAAGTTGTTTGTAATGACTTCATCCTGTTCCGTCAAGACAACAGGGCACGATATTCTTATTTTTCTGTAAGCTACGTAAGTGGTGTCCAACGTTTCATCGATGTAAATATTGCTTGACGGACCCATCTGTGGGTATACTTTTTTCATGTTTTAGGTGATTTCCTGAGGTAATATAGTCAAAGGAGGTGACCACTTTGACAACTTTTATGGCTCTTGATGCAATTTCATGCCAATGAGCTTAGCTTGGCTGGTTAGCAAGTAAGATGGAAACTGGCCTGGAAGAAGAGGACCTGAAAGAGGAGAACTTTGAAACCCATGCTTTAATATTTTAATTTTATTAAAGGGATCTGGAAGCATCAACGCTTTTGAGAATGGTGGGAATGTTAAAAGTACGACTGAAGATAATTTTGACTTGGGGTCAGGTGCATGAGAGGAAGATGATGACATTAGAGTAGGTCCATTAGGAGATGATTAGAATAACTCTGGGATGATGTCAGGGTGGATGCCTTGACACTGTGAATGGATTTAACAATCACTTTCATTCCTATTTTATAACTAAAATTAGTTGGCATGCTACTGAATTCAGACCCAGTCTAGACCTGAGTGGTGCAGACTGTTCTGACCTGACATGGTTAGTCTTTGGAAGTGAGAATACAATTCAGTCACACGGGTCGGCCATTCAGAGGACCCTTCCTGCTGACTCAGCACCCGGGACTGGAGGACTGTGTGCTGAGCCTTATTTGCTGCCCATGAGATTAGGCTCTAAGTGACTTTCAGGCCACCACGGCTGTCATAACTGGCAGGTTTGCTTCACCACCGCAAGCCATGCCCTGATCCAAACGGAAACTTGAATCTGATTGAAGATGTGTGTCTTTTTCCAGACTCCAGTCCAATATCCTATAATAGCTTCAGCTCCTTTTTACTAACAACATTTCTACGTGGTTTCCCTCAATGATTCTTTTTCTGAGGTCTATCTCATGCCTTCCTCTGAATTTTGCAGCCCCTGAATCATCAGAAATGAATCTTTGGAGCTGCCTCAGCCCTTTCTTTTTTCATTCAAAAGTTTTCACTTGATTTAAGTTTTGAGAGTGCCTGAAGTCCCAAGGTGATAGAAATCTAAGGCCGAGAGTGTGAAAAGAACCACTTTCTACTAGAATACCATTTCCATGAGGGGATCTTACTGTCCTTCTGTTCTATACAGACTTGGTCTTGCTCTGGATGTTATTGGCTGCATTAGAAGAGGACGAAAGTGTATCGTTTTCATGATCCGAAGTGTGGTTGTTTATGAAGACACGCTCATGATAGTATGTTACAAAAAGGAAAGATGCACAGTTACATGTATTGAGAGCTTAATTTTGTAACAAGCAAAAATTAAAACAAATATATATATGCATATTAAAAAAACTAGAAAAAAGGGGCGCCTGGGTGGCTCAGTCGGTTAAGCGGCTGCCTTCGGCTCAGGTCATAATCCTGGAGTCCCCGGATCGAGTCCCGCATCGAGTCCCGCATCGAGTCCCGCATCGAGTCCCGCATCGAGTCCCGCATCAGGCTCCCTGCTCAGCAGGGAGTCTGCTTCTCCCTCTGACCCTCCCCCCTCTCATGCTCTCTGTCTCATTCTCTCTCTCAAATAAATAAATAAAATCTTTAAAAAAAATAAATAAATAAAAATTAAAAACTAGAAAAAAATCCATAAAATCTTAATACTAGCTATTTCTCGGTAGTGGAATTATAAATATGTTTTTACTTAATTATTTTTCTTTTCCTCCACAATTTTCTAAAATAAAGATGTATTGCTTTTATAATAAAAAATAAGGATCATTAGCATCTTTAAATCACACTTTAAGAACTCTGTGCTTGGTAGAAGAAAAGAGACACGAATCAGAGGCAATGCAAAGCAGGCCCTTTTGCTTTTTCAGCCCAGCTACTTCTGAAGGTCATCAGTAAGGCTTTTACCATCACTCCTGAGGGGCCAGGTGCAGCCATGATGGGGAAGTGCCTGGCACCATCCAGCACCCATGGGTTCCTTAGACAGTCCAATAGTAATGACTAGTGTCAGAGCTCCTACTATTTTTTTGAGTACCAACCATGTATAGTTATTCTAGAGTCTTGTGTTTGAATGCTGGTTAAAGTGTAATCCAGTCCACTCATTCTTTTAAAAAGAAGTTGAGAAGTGTGATAACTGACATTACAGGTTTACCTAAATTCAAGTAATTGTCTCAAATTTTTATGTAAAATGACACCATGAAGGGCCAGAGTCATTACTTATAGGAGTAACTGGGGGGATCCTTGCTCATTTTGGCCCCTTCCTTCTGCATCCTGTTTGCCTCCTAGCATCTCCCTGGCAATGCCAGGATCAGCGTGTTAGAGCTCCCACAGAGAAGCCCACAACTTTCCAGGATTAAAAGGAGTAAGAAGTCTTTATGCTCTGGTTTTTGAGGTAGATGGTTTTTACCCTCGTGGCTCCCTTTTCACTGAGAAGCATAAAACATACACATTGTCTCCTCCTCCTCTGTGGAGTCTCAAAGAACCATAGTTTCCTGCCCCATTTGACCACAGTGGAGCCTCTCCAGAATTCCCACAGTTCCCCTGGGATTTGAGGGCAGAGCCGGAATAAAAGTCTTCGCAGCAACCATAGCCACTCTGGCCAGGACATCACTAGGCTGAGTGGGAGCCTCGGTTGCCCCAAGCAAGATTGGAAGTCAGAAAAGTATGTCTCCTGCCCCTAGACTTTTCTATACTTTGCTCTTCTTTTTCAACCCCTCTGGGAAGGATTTCAAGAACCAACTCAACCCAAGGTGTGATGACAAAGGAAACTTAAAATATTACTTCTCTCAGGATATGCATTTTGATTGGGAAAGAAGACTGAAGCCAGTGGAAGAGTTGCTAATTATGATATTTCAGGCCTCTGGTATCAGATGAGGGAGGTGTTGGGCAGTGATTGATACTGAAAGTAATCTATTCCAGCCCCGACATCAGTGCAATCATTCATTACTTAACAACTATTTATTGAGCACCTATATTGCATGGGGCACTGTGCATAATGAAGAATACAGACATCAACTGTACCCTCATGGAGCCCCAGGTTAGCTCTGGATCAGCCATATATTATTACATGAAATCATGAGACTGATTTTCAGTGGTGGCTTATGAAAACGAATTCCACTTTGAGTAGCACTTGCGTTTTGCTCAGTGCTCTTGATATCTTCAGAAGCCACCTGGTCATACATCATAAAGAAGCATCCTGGTCACATTATTTTTACCTGGTCCATAGAGCACAAAGTTGATTAGAACTCGTTGAGGGGTCAAACAAAATTTAATGTTTTAGTAAACAATGGAATAGTAGTTGGGTATGTCTGGGCTTGCCCTCTTGGACACATCTGTTGTTGGTTTTTTTGCTTTTTCCAGCATAATTTCCTTTGGTAACAGCACCCCATTTGACACCCATTGTTCCCATTCAGAATCCTTGCAGATTGCACAGGATTGGCTTACCTAGCCCTTAGCTCCGGAGGTCACACGACCCAGGCCTGGCCAGTGTGATCTCCACAGCTCCTCGGTCATAAAGACTGGTTCAGGTATGAACAGGTGATCCACACATGGTTTATAGAAAACCTTTGCAGGATTTTTTCCCCAGTGTTATTGGAAAAAAATAAGCTCTTTCCATTGGGTTTGCAGGCTGTGAAGAGCCTGCTTGGGAATATGCCCAACATAGAGGAAAGCAGAGACCAAGAACAAAGAGAGGTTTCTGATATTGCTTGAGTATTGTATTTAGGTCTATCCATAGATTTTTAATTTATATTATTCCGTATATAGGGAGAGAGGGAGGGAGAGAGAGATATTCATAGATACAATTTTCTGGTTTTCATCAGCCAGTTTCTTTCATTAGCAACTGAATGTCCTCATTCATTCAACTGTGTTAAACTGTTACACTCCCAAGAGTATCTAATCAAAAGAAGATGATGAATAGATTGCCTTTCTACTAATTTATCCCTTTATTTTTTGAGTGTCTAGTTGACTGGCAAACTGAGGTTTGTCCGGGGGGACCTCAGGGAGGAGAGTGGAGTTCTGAGGCCCCTGGGCTTCCTGTAGTCATCTGGCTACCTGGTTCCACATGCAGCTGAAACAGTATAACAGCCCCCTATTAAATATTGGCATCTCCCTTCACAGCATCCAGGGGTTTTTTTTTTCCCCTTGCTCCCTTTCTGGAGAAAGCAAAGACACAGTATGAAATTCAAGCCGGAAGACAGAGGTAAAGGAGGAATGACTCTGACTCTTGAGCCTAATAGCTATGAAGAAATCAGTGTTTTCCTTCAAGCCTATTAGGGAAGCCTGAATAAAACCATCTGCTGCTGTAAACTGTTGTGCCTCCAGACGAAAAAATAGTTTCATCTTCACATCTACATCCCATGCTTTCTGGTCCATTCCTTTTTCAAGTAGAGGAAAGTGGCAGATACCCCTTTTCTGTCACACACGCTCACAATCATGCACACATTCACTAGACTGTGTGTATAAACAACCCAAAGACGTATGTAAGTAAAATCATGTATTGTTTCGGGGGTACACATCTCTATGGATAGATGGGTGGATGGACAGATGAAGGACAGATGTAGATGGATGGATGGGTGGATGGGGGGAGGGATGGATAGAGATGGATTATACTGACCTCAAAATAACTGAAACACACTTATCTCCAAAATTCCGCTAAAACATAAAACTTAAAATATTGGGCTCGACTAAGTTACAAGTTTTTGGAAGATGCATGTATTTAAAAAGTTTTGAAAAAATACATATCCCAAGTATGAACACTCTCCCGGAGTTCTAGGAAAACTGTAATGGGATGAGAACGCTGAGGTACCAGCAGTGACATAAGGCCTTTTTGTCCGGGAGATGACTTTCCGACGTCGGGGTAGGAAGTGGTCTAACAGACCTCCAGACAAACAGCCGCTCCACCTGCCACATCAGCACATGAGACACTGAAATATGCAACTCTGGGTAAGAACCAACCCTAAAGATTAAACATTTATTTGGATTAACATCTTTGCATCAAGAGGGGAGAGGAAATTAGTCAAGGAATGGGTAGTCAGGGCCCTGTTCCTTGCAAAGCCCCTTGCATTTTCCACACAGAACATTAAAGCCAGAGCTCCCAAGTGAGAACAGACTGAAGACCCAGCCCACTCCTCCTGAGTCCGGAAAGGGAGTCTGGGCTTTGATTCAAGAGCAGCTTCCCAGGGAAGCTAGGAAGGATGTTTTTGTTATGTACCTTTCAAAACAGACACTCAAGCACCTCCCAGGCAACATGGACTCCCTGCTCAAGGATCTCCTTCAGAAAGTGCAAATTTCATTCTCCCAGCCTACCTCAGAGGGTAGGCATTATTTAGGTATCCTTGCTTTGCTTTCAGGATGAGGAAAGGCAGCGTGCACAGCCATGACCCCTGGCATCTGCTTCTCCAGGAGAGCTGCTCCCTGCCTCCACTGGACTGAGCCTGTCACCTCCGAGTGTACCATCCACTGGAAAACTCCTGGACAGGAAAGGTTCCTATTGCTGGAACAGATACCTATTTTTTAATGTTGCAATAAGTATCTTTTCCAGACCAAGGTTTTAAAAATTGGTTGGCCAGTTCCAATTTGGACAAAGCTGAGAGGTTGTCTCAAGGGTCTTGATACAATTTAAGGTCTTCTGTAACTTACGGGATTTATATTTTCAGCAACACGATTTTCTTTTGTTTCCTGCCACCTGAAATTAGTTTTTACTTCCATCTGAGAATCATAAAAGCTTCAGAACATTAAAAAGGCTATCGCTTTACACAAAACAAAATCTGAGAAGCTAAATTAGAATCCAGTTCCGAGGTCAGCTGCAGGGACAGGTGGGTGTGGATAGGATCCAGGCCCACAGGTTGACCAGTATCCCTGGGAGCTGTTGCTGCAGTAAATTGTTTTAAATAAGTTTTTTTTTCCTTCTTTTTTAAACCAAGTCCATCAAGTGACACAAACTCAAGCTGATTAAAGCCTGCTGCCCTCGGACTGATCTTTGTCTGCGAGGGAACATTCGGTGTGGAGACGGGAAACAACGCAATCTACATCTTCGGGCTGCCTCCAGACCCCCCCCACCCCCCGCCCAAATTCTGCTCCAGCGATGGCTTCATTCTCTCTTTCTCTTGTTGCTGCTCCTTCGAAAGAGATGTCTCCAGCAGCCTCATCACTAGGCCAGTGAACTCTTCTTCACATTTTAGTGTCCTGGACAGGGGTGTTATCCTGTGAACACAGGAGGAAAGGATGAGTTAGGAAGAGAGTGGGGGAAATCCTGACGCTCAGCAGACCTCCTTGGTGATACCAGATCCAGCAAGAATTGTAACACTAACAGTAGTGATGGTAATAATAATGCTATGTGCTTGACGGAGGTTTCTACGAGCATCAAATCATGTATTCCTCACAAAAGCAAGACGAGTTAGGTACTTCTGTTAGCGCTGTTCTGCAGGTGGGGCAGTTAAGGCACAGAAAGGTCAAGTGACTTCCCCTAGGTCACACAGCTAGGAAGTAACAGAGTCAGGATTTAAAACCAGGGACCAGAGCTTGAGCCCTCAACTATTAGGTGACATTGCCTATTCCTTGATGCCTGGCTTCCCATGCCCTCCCTGCCCCAGCTTCTTACTTACTAATTCATTCCCACTCAATTTCATCTCCCTGTTATACTGCTCAAGAAACTTTGGTGACATAAAGGTGGAAAAAGAACACAAAGAATCAAAAATAGAAGGTGGATACTTTAGTAAAAGGACAGGAAAATAGCTATTTATTCAACATTCAACCCAAAGTATGACTTTTAGCTCCTTCTGGGCTGGGGCTGCACCAGGCCTTACCACCTTGGGTTCTCTGGCTGGGAAACAGAGACATTTACGACTGTGTCCACGGCATCAGGTGGCATGTGCTCTGGGCCACCGGAACGCGCTGTACTGAGCGTGAGGGGGTGCTTGAGTCACTGCGGGTGTTCCTCACCGGAGCAGTCGGGGAAGGCCTACAGAGGACAGAGACTTCCAGGCCGCAGTGAGGGCAATCTCAGTCGGGGGTGCGGGCGTTTCTGGTGGAGGGGACGGCAGGACGGGTGGGACGATGCGTTGCCTCTTGTGGAATGGTGGGTCCTGGAGGCATGGGCCCCATGATGGGGGAGAAGGAAAGGCTGGGAGAAAGTTCAGCATGGGGAGGAGGGTGAACTCGATTCTCCCATGAGTGGTATCAAAGGGTTTGGGGTAGGAGAGTAGACACCGAGATGCCATTTTCAGCAAGATGAATTTGGTGCTAATGTATAGAGTGTGTCTGGAGACCAGGAATTCCTTGAGGAGCGAGTCGTGATTGTAGAGATAAGGAAGGGGTCACAGCAGTGGAGACGGGGCAGGAGGGAAAGCGAAAAGCCCTCCCTGGCAAACCCCCTAAGACCTGGGGGGCTGATTAGGCAGGGAGATGGAAGAAACATGAGCACCTCATTAGCAGAAATGGGTGGGTATAACAAAGGAATGTGGGGTTTAAGTTGAATACAAGTGAAGAAACAGAGCAAGTAGGACGAGTTTGGTTTTGAGTTTGAGTGACGGGCAGGTGTCCAAGCGCGGAGGTCGGTTGGTGTGTGGTTGGGACCAGGGCCAGGCTGGTACTAAGCAGTCAAGAGTGGCCCAGTGGCTGATGGTGAGGGGCAACCTTAGGGATCATTCACAAAATATGACGGCTGGAGCTTGGTAGTGGGGGCCAGAGGAGACTGCCAAGGTCAAATGTGGCGGTTCTTCTTGAGGAGACAGGGAGGGAGGGAGGGAGAGGAGTTGGCGGGGCGGCCCACCAGACAGAGGCTACGGTGGCAGGTGGCCTCAGGGGCAGGGCTGACACCTCACCGAGGTAAGAATGCCTACTCTTTGGTGGCAGGGAAGCAGGGAAGCACTTGTGAGCTTCACATCAGAGAGAAGCGTGAGATCGCAAGGAGAAACAAAGGAGGGGGACAGCACTGGGTGTGCGGGGGAGGGACAGACTCGGGGGATTTTTCTTTAGGACTGGAGAGAACTGAGCAAGGTCTATAGGCAGAAGGGGGTGAGCTAGTGAGGAGCTAGAAACTTGGAAGAGCACCTGGATGGATGGGAAATTCTTAGAGTGACCCCTCACTTAAAATGCACAGACACACTCCACAAATGTCCTGTAAAAATGTCCAGAAAATGGCAGTTGGGGGAAGCCAGATCACAGCCGATGTGGGTTTGTCTTGTCAAGAAGGGACCTGTCCTCGGATTCGTACTTTGAGAGGACGAGGCTGCCCTTCCTTTCACTCACGTAAGAGGTGAGGTCATTTGCAGAGCCGTGGGGATGAGGGAGGAGTGACTGAGGAAGGTAGGTGAAAACAGGCTGATAGAATGCAGTGAGTGAGTTTCCAGGCAGGGAGGGAAGATGGATGTGGCTCAGCCCCATTGGTAAGAGGTCATAAGGGGTCCAGGCTGCTTGGCAAAGAATGTGGAGTGAGAGTGGCTGAGCTTTGTGGATTGATCCAGAAAGAGAGAGCAGGTCAGTGGGGAGGGCGGGACGGTCCAGAGGCTAAGGGAGGGGCTGAAGAGGGAAAGCAGGGGAGTGTGGTCCCAAGAGAAGTGAGAAGAGAAGGCCAAGAATTGAGGCTCAAGAGAAGGTGGTATCTCATCAGCTGAGGGAGAAAGACATTTCAAATCAAATATTGAGAAATCAAGGAGAATGCCTTGGACGAGCAATGGAACCAGGCGGTTAGGAAGTCAGGGGTTACTGTTGGTCCTACAAGGTCTTGAATGTGATGCATCTTGAATGTCGTGGCTTGGGGAAGTTTATCTTTGGCATACCTGAGTGCCCTACACAGTACTGGAAACATAGTGAGTGCCGGAGAAACATTTGTTTGATTTATTTACAGTATGGGAGCTGGATCCTAGTCAGTGCCCTCTCTCCAGGGGGAAGCAGAATCCCAAGTGTTGGGATTTGATATATCCAGCCTGTTCCGTGACTGAAATTCCCAGAATGACTCATTCCTTAAGCATAAAACGTCGAAATACTTGTGAGGGGCTATGCAGTAGGAAGTTAACCCTTTCTAGCGCTTTCACACGGTTGATACCTGGGGCCTCATCGGAAGCCTTTCCCTGCTCTCTCCCTTGAAGAAGGGACGGCCCCATCCTCTGTGCTTCACAGAGCATAGCAAGTTCCTGGGAAGAATCACATTTCTTCTACTGCCTTGTCATTATTTGTGTCTTTTGTTCATCTGTTTGTTTTATTTGTCTGTATTTGCTATTTGTTTATGCCTCTGTCCTCTTCATCTTGG